GCTCAGTAGGTAGGGCACTGGCCCTATATACTGACGGTGGTGGGTTCAAACCCAGCCCTGGCCAAACTGCAACAAAAAATAATAGCCAGGTGTTGTGGCAGGCACCTGTAGTCCCAGCTACTTGGAAGGCTGAGCCAAGAGAATTGCCTAAGCCCAGGAGTTGGAAGTTGCTGTGAGCTGTGACATAACCGCACTCTACAGCAAGGGCAATAAAGTGAGACTCTTGTCTCTACCAAAACAAACAAACAAAAGGCACATACTGTGTACGTGCATATAAACTGTGTTTCCTGTACACAGGAAAGGCTCAAACAGGTTTGAAACCCCGAGTACTACCATGTTTCAGCTAGTCACCTAACTGGGGGCTCAAATCCCTTATGCCTAAAATAAGGACAATACAGGATTACTGGAAGGGAATCAAATTATGCAAATTACCTGATAAAGTCAATAATAAATATTAGCCATCATAAAAGCTGTATTAACCTACTAGCTAGTCTGGCAATACATTATCGGACTTCCATTCATACTTTATGCATATAACTTTTAATTCACTTAAGGCCAATATACATTTTCCCTTGCTTTTTTCCAAGATTCTGGTTACCCCAGATGTAATGGAGAAACACTGAATGTCACTTTTAAACCAGCCTTTAATTTTTCAATTCAGGTTTAAGGAGACATATATACACACAAACATATTCAAGGAATCAAGAATGTAAAGTATAAACATGTACAGCAGACACTACTTCATGTATTTTTAAAAAACTAACTTTAAAAGAACTTCATAGTTTACATGTAAAAGAAAAATATCGTAACTTCTACTTCCCTTTGAAATATTCTCACTGAATTGCATCTCCAGAAACTCCAACAGAAAGCACTATGGCAAGGGGCGGGGTACTCATTGGTGACCAAAATCTAATAGCATTCTTATGAACTATGGGCCTCTCGTGGCCTCCGTTCTTTTGTCCTGGCTAAATTTCATGAAATGAAAATATATTAAGTGCTAAACTAGCACTAATTCCGCCATATTCTTAAATGCCTAGTGAACAGTATGGATTTGTCAGATGAGTACAGTGACATTCAAAAAAACAGAGTCCCCAGAGACTGAGATTCTGTAGCTAAGTTGGGGAACCATAATAACATTCTAGAGTGTTCTGGAAGTGGGTTGTGACTAGTTTTGGTTACGTCTGCACTGGCTGCTTCCAGGTGCGGAGCTGTGTTAGGTATGGGAAGACTACCCTAGGAAAAATAATCAATGAAGGCTGCAGTGCACTGTAAAATGACCAATGGCCCCTATTTCTAAGGTTTCCCTTCACTAAAAGATTGCATCTTCTTGTTAGGATCCAGTAAGCACATTCCTTGATGTCAGCAACATTACGGTTCCTCTAGACAAGCCCAGGCAACTGGTCAATATTTACATCATCCCATGGAGGGTATCCAAACCCAAGAAACCAAATTTTAGAACACCATCCGATAACTTCTTGCATTCAAAACCTCAGCTCCTATCTTTAAATATTTTTGATATAAAGAATCTTTTAGGATGCATTACAGGCATTCCTATAAGCTATATTTACAAGATACAAAATATTCGGATAAAAAGCAAATTTCATCATGTTGTACACTGTACAGGTAAGGTTTATAAAGTAAATTTACTTTTAGCACCATATTTACAACCCAACACTGCAAATTAATTTAACTTTTCAAACTCAAAAGAGATTTTTCATTGATCATAATGGCACCTCCTCTCTCAATAGATCAATAGATGTGAATGTCTTGTGGGCTGGTGGAGACAGTTTATTATTTAGTAATTGATTACACAAAATTACCTCCTTGTCAAGCAGGCTCTCCTTTTTAACTAGCCCCAATCAGAATGACTCAAGATTTGAAGAACTATGGGCCTCTAGTGGCCTCTGTTCTTTTGTCCTGGCTAAATTTCATGAAATGAAAATATATTAAGTGCTAAACTAGCACTAAGAGATGGAAGTACAGTCTTTGAAAAGACAGGTGGAGTATCACTTTTTCCTTGGAATTTTAATTAACATTTATAACTGCTATTACAAAAATGAGATGAGGACATATGTTCCTTTTAGAGTAGTATGAGCTATGCAAAAAGTATTTTAGATCACTCGAAGAAACGTTGACATTTTAAATCTTCACTAGTTCAAATTAATTCTGAAATTTATCAAGGTCTATAATTATTAATGTCCAAATGAGAAAACTAAAGCTCAGAAGTTGCCCCAAACCAATAACAACTAGTGTAAGCCAGGGTTGGTGGCTTGCTTTTGTCCTGGCTATCTGGGAGACTAAGTGGGAAGAATGCTTGAGGTCAGGAGTTTGAGGCCAGTCAACTATGATTGCACGCCAGCCTGGGCCAAAGAGCAAAGTCCTATCTCTTAAAAAAGAACGAACAAACTGGTAGAATACAGCTCTAAAAAAAAAAAGACAAGGTTTTCCTCGATCGTGGTTTTTTTCCTCAGTACAAAACAAATTGGTTCAAAATTACCTAGACTTTTAGAAACGAGGGAAGTTTATAATGGAAAATGCTTTTAGTATTAAACAGTTTTCATGGCTCTAACAAATTTTGTCCATGAGCTTACTAACTAAAATGCTGACTTCATTTAATACTTCATTGGTAAAGGATGAGGACACTATACAAGAAATGACATTAAGTGAAGTGCAATTCATTGTTTTCTATAAAATAAGTTAACTTTAAGCAAAACAATCTCAATGATGATAAATGCATTTCATTATTTATTTAGATGTTTAAGCTCTCGCACTAAGTTTTTACAAGCTGGTGAACACTGACAAATTATTTCTCCCACAGAACTATAACCACACACTCCCAGACAGTATAAATATATGGTTGAACTAACATTAATACACATCACCATTTTATCAATTACATAATAAAACAAATTATCAAGTATCCAAATATTAAGTTACACAGCTCAAAAGGCATATATAAAATATTTATTAGATGTCTGCTCAATTCATTAGCAGAAACCCACTTTTTTTTTTTGCAAGAGGTTGGGAAGAAAAGGAAAAAAAAATCACACTTTGAACAAAAATAAGTTGGTAAACAACTTCTGATAAGTATGGGGAAAAATTACAAGAATTTCAGAAATTTTATGATTAAGAATTGTTTTAGCTACAATTAACAAAGCATCTCTACCTTTTAAACAATATTTACTAAATTAAAGAGCGTATTTCTACATGTCCTGCACAAGACAAAGGCAACATTTTGCTAAAAATATTTAATAGCCCCTCCCATTCCTTTTTCAGGCCCTCCCTGTTAAGTTGCCTCTCAGAGTGCAAACATTAAATTAACTGTAAGGCTTTTTTTGTCTGAAGACAGTAAAGACATGTGCTTCTGTACAATGTAGATTTTCAAAATGGAGGTTTTTTCTAACAGCACAAAATGAGATTTATAGAAAGACATTAAATAGTCACTCTAAGACTTGGTAAAAATCCAAAAGAAAAAAATCAATGGTGGCGCAAACCTGA